CTTGCAAGGGCTTAACTATCACTTTTTTTGCATAAAGTTTCTATAAGTAAAGTCTTTTACATCCAAAAAACATTGAATACATTTATTTCTGTTCAGCAAATCTGCCATTGATAAAGATCCTATTTAGCTATCCTATTTAGTAGTCCTCTTCATTTTAACATGAAATGCACACTCCTTCATCCTTTTTTAGATTCATTACTTGTACACTTAATATGTAAATAATTATATTATAGCTAGGGTTGACTGCTACATGTCAGCTGGAGTGGACTGTTTTCTACTTTCAAATTATCTGGGATTTAATGCCTCAATTTAATGACACTGCATGTTTTTAGAGGAGCCAGGATGAGTCTTTCTTTGTAGAAAATCCTGTATTTGGCTTTGTATACTGTTTGAATTAAAAGATTAAATTATGAAGAACACCTGCATGTAATCAAATCCTAGTTATTTTACATCTCTATCTGCAAGTCAATGGGACTTCTGCTCCCAAGTTACTACAGGCTTTGGAAAATCTCACCCTTTTAAAGCAATTGCTCTGTCCAAGCAATCTGAAGTTCATTAGTGCTCAATTTAAGATATATTTATGTTGGTCAACTCTGTATTCATAGGTAACGCTCTTGCTCCTCTGGGTTCGTTCTAGACAAAAACGTGTTATTCAATTTTTTTTCCTTTACATCAATCTGCAATTCTCTCCCTTAACAAACCCCGGGCATTGTGTTGAAGCTAAGTTTCAAGGGACAGGTCTGACACATGAGTATTCTGTAAACTGCACATATATCCAACTATCAGACGGCAACTCATCAGGGAGAAGCAGTCATGCCATTTTTTGCATTAAGTAACTATGTTCCATTATTTTCATTGTTTTGGATGCAGTAATAGTATGCTGTTCATTCTATTAAAAGAAATTCCAGAATAAAATAATACATTCTACACAAGGGTCAGAGGCTCTGTGCATAAGAGCTGTTCAGTTTTTACTTCTATTCAATGAGTATATTACTTTCTTGTTGAGTAGGCTCCAACAAGTTGCACAATGCGTGAAGCAGAATACTGAGATTAAAAATGCATCGTAATGCGTTATAAAAAAAGAGGAGGAGAGAGAAGTTTTACTATTGTAAAACTTTTCCACCATCATTTTTTACTTAAATATTTCATTTTATACCATTTGGTTATTTTTTAGTTTTTATCTGTCACTAACTGTGGTGTTTACTTTGTCCTAAAGGGTTAAAAAATGCTTGAAAAGAAAATTCTCAAAAATAATTTGAGAATTATTTCTCTTCCACCTCATCTTCTATCTGATAAAATATATATTTTGTAACAGCAAGCAGTCAGCCCAGAAACTTCACAAATCTCAAGGGTATGAAGTACCTTAACTTCCCTAATATGAAATATCACTTTTAGTTCAAATTAACACTTAAGGGAAAACTGTGAGGCTCAATCAATTCATCTAGCCTTTGAGAAGATCAGTACTTGATTGTGTGCTGCTGGCTGCTAAAGGGGGGCCTGACTAGAGAATTTTGTTCTTATCGGGTGTCATGTTATCTGCAGGCCACAACTCATCTATGGGCACTTTACATAAAAATAAAAGGGATTAAGACTATCTAGCTATTTTTGTCTGATTAAACATTCAACAGTTTAAACACACCCAGAAATGCAACCTTTTTCTATCTCTAATGGAACAAACAATTCCAGGATCTCCAGAGCTAAAACAATTCCAAAATAAGCCATTGTGTGGGCCTACCCCTTCTACCATAAGCAAGCAGCTGTAGTAGTATATAAATGAATAACTACATTTTTCAATTCTTGCTCTTGGTACAGGCAATCAGTTCACAAATCTGCAAGACTCTGGCCAATATGTATTGAATGAAAAAAAAAACAGCTGTTTCAAAAAGAAAGTCATTTCTGAATAAAAGGTGCAAGAGTGAGACTGAAGAAGTATAATACTGACCACAGGGATGATGGACTAAAAAAACCTCTCCATGCTGAAGTGGCAAAAAGATATACTAAAAAAAAATATGGATTGACAAGTTTTGAATGCTTACTCTCATTGATGTGCCAATGGGTTAACTGGTCACCAAGGAACCAGAAGTTCTCCTCTCTTTTGTATGTTAACTTCTTAGTGCAACAATATAAAGTTAAAAATCAGAAGACCAAGACCAAGATTTTGATTCTTCAGGCATAATCAGAAATATAGCAGAAGAGTTTTCAGACTAAGACTATGGTCTGATCTAATTATAACAAACTGCCATGCTCTGGCTTTGCAATAGGAAATGGTATAATTTGAGACAATACAGCTGGGATGAAAGCAGAAAGATAATCATGATAAAAGTGGTAGAAGGTTTTTGTTATGTGATAAATCTGGGTTTAAATCTTTTGGGATAGTTTAAAATCTAGATTGAATGATTCTGAAAAGTGTTTTTTGTTTCCCTGCAACCTACAAAGCCTGGAGTATGTTACTGAAAAGTGTGTCATCTTTTGGTTAACCTAGACAGTTATTTTTAACATTTCTGGGCACCTTTGAACAATTGAAAGTCCGTTGCCACCTCAATTTGTAGGCTACATACCCCAGCCCGTACACTTGTCCATCTGTGGCCATTTTGTCATGCCTGGAAGTTCCTGATGTGGTATTTACATTTTTTACATTAGTCAAACCAGGAGACCATTGGGTGAATTATTTTCTTTAAAACATGTTAGCATACACAGAGTAATTAGATCTATTAGAGCCTCAAAAAGATGGTTCCTGATGTACAAGTAGTTTTAAGGGGGTAACCAGTGATGGAAGGGAACTAGCACTCAATAACAAGAACAGACATCAGAGACAGGACAATATAGGCATGAAATCACCTGCCTTATGAACAGCCTTTTGCAAATACTTCAGGGCTCCCCGCTCTTTTCATGAACCACTTGAAGCATTTTCTGCGTTTGCTTCTAAGTGACGTTCCAGGCAGTGTCTATGCATTTTTAATTCTAACAGGAGAGCCAGGGGTTTCCTTTCCTAAATACAACACTACTTTTTTTGATAGATGTGTATTTGTTCTAGTTCTGTGTTACATTTTCCTTTTCTTCAAATCTTTTTTTTTCAGGTTTCTTTCAGCTCCCACCAATGAAAATTAAGTTTCCTTCCGTTTTGAATATATTATGCAAAGGTATCAATTTGTAAATATCGAGATTAAGGGACATATGCAAAGTCTGATTTTCTTGAAGTACAGAAACAAAAAAAAATCCCAGCAGAGGGAAAGTTTCTGCTCAAAGATGAGCAATATCATAACTATATAAAATAATAGGAATGTGACATGTTCTTCTTTTAGAGGTTTTTTATACTGTTTTACTGTATCAATCTATTACTCATCTTCATATTTACCACATAATGTTCTTCACTTCATATGAAGTCAAAATAAAACAAAACTTTATGAAGGTTTGGTATCCAACAGAAGCCCTAATAATTATTTTGTAAATTAATAATGCACTTGAGATGTCAAAAAGCTGGATAATCTGTATTCATAATGAGAACAATTGAGGATACATGTATAGCATTACAACAACACTCACGTAGAACAGAATTGAATTTGTGTGGGATCTTGAAAACAAATAATGCTATACAACTAATTTAAAGGCAAATGATAAATGTGGATGTCTAAACAATAGCATTCTTCTGCGAAACCTAACTTAATATAGCCTAATAGCGCAAGTTTATGCCTTTAAAATAAGGCTTGTAAGGCTCAGAGACATGACATGTTAGGGTCCTGCAGCAGCAGCACATGCAGAAAGTCACGTAATAGCTGTCAGGGAAGCAAGTACATTAGCTGTCAGCTGCTCCCCCCTTTCTATTAGCAGTTACAAGGGTCTATGAAGATTGATCATAAGCAGCTAATCAACATAAACAAGAGAATGGCCAGAGAAGGAAAGCTATTGAATACTTTCTATAATGTTGTCCTGATGAGTTAAGGAAACTGCCAGATGCATCGTTCGTTTAAGGAGGTTCAGATATTTTCCTATTTAGACTTACACAATTTACAGTGAAAGATGTAACATCCTGCATTTTTAAAAAAGAAAGTGGAGAAAGGAAGGACCTTTTCTACAAAGCATTTTACACTCAGAAACAGCCAATTTTGGTACAGACGTGCCACAGGAAGAGGGGGAGGGGCACCTGGGGCTTATAGCACAAGCTTCTCCATTGTACCGAAAGATGACTTTTCCTATGGATGGTCAACCATCCTGTTTTGTGGCTTTCAGCTTCCTCCTGTATTGTGAGCTTGAAGTCATTGAAAAAGGAAAGGTTTTAAACCGAGGTCTGTGTTGGGAATTCCAAACACTTTCAATACATGTTAACCAAACAAATACATCATGCCTAGACTATTAACATCCTGGTTCACATTGCTGAAGCCACTATTCTTTGGAAAAAAATAATGTAATCACAGAAGAACTTTGAATAGCTATCTTGTTAGTTCTTTCACGTTCTGATAATATTTAGACAAACTGAAAAGAAATTTGAAAATGTGGTAGAAAGCCAAGTACAGTGTGCGCAAGACTGCGTCTTGCAAAAGAGAAAGAAAAATCCATCCCTATAAACATTACGGTTAAGTGGCAACATCCTGAAACACTCAAACAGACAAATTCATATTAATAACTTCTTAGTTTTCAACACTCTAACAAATGCATTTGTGTTAATCTTGATGGAATATTTGGAAAACCTTTGCCTTAAAATGTTAATTTTGTATCCATGTTTCAAATGTGTAAACTGTAGGCTGATTATTTTCAAGTGCCTTGCTTCAATGGGAGGTGAGCTGCCCCTCTAAGAAAAACATTTGCACTATGCAAAAAAGTGACTAAGTAACTATTAATGCTAGTTTGGTTAGGACTTGTAGCATGTGTTCCTGCAAGAAAGTACAGCACATACCAGTTTCATCGCGATCTATGCAGTGAACTGTGGAGCAGTCTGGTTTATGCCACTGGCAGACTTATGTGTTGCAGCTGTGTGTGTGCTACATTAAACAGTCTGCAGTTACCTGATATCCTTCTGTTTTCTTCTGGCACCACTTCAGCAAGGCATTTCTTTTGGAGCCTCCATATTCTCTTGCCAGGGCAGATAAAGGGTCTTTCCTTTCTTCCCTAAGAATAGAAGGGGAGAAAAAGAACAGCAAGGTTTGATACCATGCTCCCTTCTGCAAGTTTTTCTTTTCCATTTGAACAAGGTGAGTACCTTTCTCTCAATGACAGGAATAAGGCACAGCATGCCAGTTAAGGGATGGAATATGCCCAATTAAACCCACATAGTTTTCTCTGTTAGGCAAGATCAAATCAGCTGATTTGCTGGCAGTCACTTCACCTATTGTCCATTCGGAACAAAAATTTGAATGCGATCATACTAAGATCTTTGAGAGTTATCACCACTGGTGCTAATCACTTACCATTTACTTAATTATTTTTAAATTAAACCTCTTTTCTAGGGCTCTGCATACAAATAGGGCTTCTTCTAAAACGTATAACATTAAGCTAACATGCTCAGGACACAATATGTTCCAGCTTGAACTATAAGCTAATGCAAACAACTTTATTTTGTTTAAAAAAACCCAAACTGATGGTATCTCTTTTGCATCTCATTTGATTAGCAATGTCACCTTGAAAGAGCAGTAACTTGGAACACTGTTAGGACAAAGTTATTGCTAAGAGACTGTCTGCCCCCATATCTGGAGTTTTCAAAAGAAGGGATCAAGGACAGTCTCACTCATTTACTTCATATGCAGGCAATATTGATTGTAATGAAACATTGATCAGGTCTCAATAAAATATGCTAAGATAACAGATTCAAACCCATCAATAATGATCTTGTGTACCATTCTGATTAAGACAAATAAGAATACAAGTATCCTTGTGCAGTCATATTTGTCTATTTAGCCAGTAAAAAGCTGGATTGAGGGAGAAGGGGAAGGCTGATTAAGAAAACAATTACTTTCCCTATGATGAAAGGCAGAGGGAGGAAGTGTAACTGGGTTGGTGAATGCATACTACAATTTTGCATTAACAATTTCAATGTTAGGTTTTAATAGTCAAACTGTTCAAAATATTAACTCTTAGATTAATTACTCACATTAACACCCTTGTGGTAGTGTGACTGAGGCATGTCTTTCTGCAGGCACTAAAATGAAGTACAACAAAAAGGTCTAGATATGACGTTTTATGTAGCTTGAGTAAAAATAGAGATACTCCAATAGGTCTATGCAGTTAACCCTAATGTTCTCTGTTTGGACCTTTTCTACAAAGCATTTTACACTCAGAAACAGCCAATTTTGGTACAGACGTGCCACAGGAAGAGGGGGAGGGGCACCCAAACAAAAAAAACATCAATTAACTCTGAGTTTTCCCTGTAGTGGAGGGTTCTTTATTTCCCAATTTTTAAATAATTCTATACAGATTAATCATTCTATACAGATTCTTAGGTCCCTCTGCCAGCATCATAAAAATGTACCCCTCTGGATACCTTCATTCTATAAGCAGCTAGTTTATACTAATTACTTATTCTCTGGTTTTAAGCCCTTTACAGCCAATCAATTCAATTCCAAAAGAAAATAAGTGCTCCAGTGCAACAACTCTTGCAAACTATAGGCATAGATTTCACAAACCTTGGGGGGGGGGGTTATTACTGGAACTTGTATTTCTTTGTGTGCACATACTGTCACCTCAGCACTAATGATCGTTCTACATGACCCATGTTTAATTTAACTCCATGTGCCAGATGAAAAAGATTAGTTCCTAGAGTCTAATTAAATATAGTTAATATAATCACACCTTTTTGCTGTCATATGAAGTCCTGATTGAAGTTGGCAACATTTCAGAGTTGCTCAAAACTAGGTGGCTCAAATGCCATCTGTTGTCAGCTATTAAAAATAAGTTCAATAAATGAAATAACAGGGGAATAAGGATGCAGCTGACAGAATGCATCTGAAAGGAATGTCGTTAAATTGCAAGCAGTAACAGACCACGGATTGGCTGCAGTGCAGAGGAGTTGCACATTCTTCAAAGTAGCCATCAGTAGCTATACTGACTTGGCAGATCTCTAAATAGATCTGGTAAATCTAAGTTAAATTAAATATTATTTTTAAAAATCTTACTACCTTCATAAACATTCCAATATTGAAATGAGGCCTGAACTTGGGGTCTAGCCCACATTCCTAAAATTCTGCCATTACGGTTTTGATTCTTTTCAGGCTTTTCCTTACAACTGCACATGAGGGAAACAGAAAATAAATTACCATATTTACTCAAATCCAAGATGAATCATCCTGTCCCCCACTCCCTCCCTCCCCCATTTAACATAGGGGGAAAAGGTCCTTGTCTTGGAGCAGAAAACAAGCAGGAGGAGTGCGGGGGAAAGTGGGGGAGGGGGCAAGAGAGGGCACAGGCAGCTGCTGCGGCTCTGACTCCAGCCCCAACCCAGGCTTGGAGGTCAGAGTCCTCCTAGCCACTGCCTACCCCGCTGTAGCTTTTGCACCCCACTGCCACCTGCTTGCCCTGCTGTGGCAGTGAAGGGGAAATATTTAAAACAATCCTTCAATAATTAATTAGTTTCTATACATGGAAAATTATAAACTAATTTATAATTTTTCTATGTATAATCTGATTATTGGGGAGTTGTCTTAAACTCAGAGTTGTCTTGGATTTAGGTAAATTCAGTAGTGTATTTTGGCTTAAACAGAGAATTACTTTAGAGACTTTTAAAAATACAGCATTATAAAAAAAAAAAAAAAGAAAAAACATTGAACGATAGATCATATTTAACCTGGTAGGCACCATGTAGCTAGACTGAAGTCTTAAGGAATTTACCTTGGCTTATATCTCTTCAATGTACATATGCTTTAACTGCCCAGACTTCCAAGTTAATTTAAAAACCAATTAAATGAACAAATTTGGGAATCTTGTATTTAGATTAGAATAAAAAAAAAATATACATCATCACCTTAGTTTAAGAAAAAGATAATGGAGACACTTAACTCCTAAAGATTTGTGAGGGCATACTAGAACTTGAATTTAAGTTCTCTCCCTTCATGCTACACATGCTGTGTAGCCATGAGGGAACTGTACAGACTGTTCCCAAATTCCAGTAAGGCACATGGTTTATATCATGTTCTTATTGTTATGAAAACAGCATTGAAGGAAACAAATTAAAATGAATAGTATGGAGACAATGAAAAATGGTTTGTGATTGATATAAATCTTATAAGTGAATATATTAGGTCAGCTGTCTTCTAAAATGTAAGAACTGATTTATGGCTTCAGCTTGCAGAACAGGGGTGTGCCTGCATTTACTGGACAGGTTGGCAGAGATTTATTTTCTTTAATAACTTATTTTACACACTGTTGTAAACTTTTGCAAACCACAGAGCATATTAAAAAGCCCAACAAAAGATTATCCAGGGACTATTCCCAAGAAGTAATTCTTCTCCCTGCCCTACTTTCCCCACACACTGATCAACCCACTCTTCTAATGGTAACAATTTTTCTTCCTACAGTGAACAACTCTTTACTTCATGCAGGCAGAGAAGTTACCAACTGCAGAGATCGTTCTCCATTTATGGCTCATTCAAAATTTCATACTTCTGTTACAATCTCAGGTTTACACACCCTGCTGGTATTAAGAGTTTAAATTTACATAAAATTCACTTTTTTTTTTTTTTTTTTTTTAACTCCTAGTGGGACCAGATATCAACCAGAGGTTTCTTGAAGTGCTAGTTGTACATTACCTGCAAAATAATGCATCAACCCAGTCCACAGACTTAAGACTACATAAAAGCATTATACTGAAGTATGTCTCACTTAATTGAAGCGAAACCATTGTTTTGAATAATATCCAGAGCTGCAAACACTCTCTTAATTTTATAATGTGATTTTTATAATTCCCAATGGCTCAGAATATTACGGGTTTAATTTTCTGGCATACAAGAGCACTGCTGATAAGCTACAGTGTCAGATGATCTCAGGAAAAATCATTTAAACTTGGTGCACCGCTTTCTAATCTGTGAAACTAGAATTTACCCACATCAGTGACATGAGGCTCAGTGGGTGTTCATACATGTGCTCTGGGAGGGGGCTCTTTAATTAGAGCGGCTCCAAGAGCTGCTCTAATTGAAGTCTCGGAGCGTCTCGTGTATCAGCATCCCCGTGCTAAAAAATGACGGTGGGGTGCCTTAACTAAAACTCATTGAACAAATTTTAAAGTGCCCCTGCTGCCATTTTTCAGCAGTGGGGATGCTGATACGTGAGATGCTGGAGTCTGCTGAAGTGCAGTAATAACCGTGTTCCAGCTAACTCAATTAGTTGAGTCTGCTCCAACACGCTGTAATGACAGTGGATTGGAGCAGCCCTGCTGATCGTGTATAGGTGCCTAATACACGTAAAATATTTTGAGGTCATTGAACAGAAGATATTAGAGAAGTGAAAATATTCTCTCTGGGATATTTAATATGAAACCAGCTATTCCTTAGCCTGCTAGTTGGCCACCATCAGCAGGATGGCTTATGACTGTCCTTTGACAGGAGGAGTACCCAGGCATTTGTTAAAAAAATTACAATTTGATTTAGGTAGGGAACACTGGTGGAGCTCTTATTCATTCAGCTCTTATTCGTTTATGGCTGGTCAGGAGGCTATGAATACCTTGTAGTGGAGATCTCTCTCTTTGGCTGCGCACCCCCACCCTCCTCCTCCCAACCCCCCAGCTCTGCGTCTGGCCACCAGGGGTACATTGCTCCGCAGCTGGGGGTACACTGACCCAAAAAGGTTGAAAACCCCTGCTCTATATGGTATGCAGGCCATAAACTAACTTGAAAATGAGTGGGGTACAGAATGCCACAACTAACTTGTTAAACCTGATTTTGTACTCTATGCATATGACAACACAGCTCGCTGATCTGCACTAGGCACCTGGTCTCCTAGCTGAGTTTAACATGTTGGTAATAAGTTGCACAGGTTATTGAAGAGCATGGATCATTGTCAGTCCTGTTTGTTGACTGCCAGAGTGAAATAATATTCATATTAAGTATAGTATTTGCCAGCTGCAAAGTTAATACTGGTTTAATGATGTACTGAATAATGAAGTTATACCTTATTCGGCTTCGTGTTGTGGGGGTGACAGATGCTGTGGGAGAGGAAGAGAGGGAAAGTTGTGGTGAGGTGGTACCCATCGCCATGAGAGAGGCTGGAGATGCTCCATCAGGTGCATTAATGTCTCGCTTGATTTCTTCGCTGCTTCGTCGTGACACTGAACAGTAAAAATACCCACAAGGTTATCATTTATAAAGAAAAATCCACCGAAGCAGGTTCCTAGTGTTTGTTATGCACTTTCTCCTGAAAGCTCAACCCCCAGTTCTCCCCTTAAAATACATACCGCAGCTTGTACATCAAGAAATATACAAGGCTAGACCTCAAGAGTGTGAAATTGCAAGAATTAAATGGCAAAAGGGATTTCAGGAAGGGAATAACTTTCTCAAATTACCATTATTTTCTAGGGTAAAATTCCATTTGAAGCAATGAAAGCTTCCTGAATGGACTTGTGGAACCCCTTGGAAAATGCCAGAACTTCATTTTCACTCATTTTTTGAATGCAGAAAAATAGTAGACCAATTTTTCTGTTCCAAAGAACTCAGAAAGATCAAAACAGTTCAGAATATTTTTAGCACTATGATTTCCTATTTGAAATCTCTGCTTTCATCATGTGTGAAAACATGATTCACTTAACAGTGCTAACATTGTATGGCACCCTGCAGTGCCGCAAAAACATTTCACAGCATCCTATGGTGCTGAAGCTTCCTGGTTGAGAATCCCTGCTCTAATGCCACCCCTAACTGACAGTAAGGGGATCTCTCGAGGAAGACAATGCTTATATAAAATGAAACCATTTGGCTTTCTTCCTGTCTAAGTGGTTCCAGTGCTAAGCTGTGCTAAGCTTTCTAATTTTATTTTTATAAAGCCCTTTTCAAATATTGAACGTTTAACAAAAAACACAGACACCTGGGTGAAAGTTAGCAGGTGATATGAAAAAGAAATCCTATCAGCTGTGACAGCTGGCCTTATCAAAAGTTAGAAAGTGATTCCAATTAACAATGAAAGGTGCCTGGAACAAATTTAGATAGCATTAAATTTTCCTGATGAAAATGTTGCCAATTAAAAAATGACCCAGGACTAATCAAACACATTCTAGAGAAAAAACTACTCTGATTTACCAGATTCACCGTTTAGACACTAATACCAGCCCCACATTCTGAATGTACATCAAAGCTTGGAATGGTTGTGTAGTAATGTTTTTCCCGTCTTAAAACTTAAAAAGTTCAAATAAATGAATAAGTGGTGAGTTTTGGTTACAAAAAACACCATAAATTTGGATATAAAAGTATTTCAGAAACTGGTAACAGTTTAAAATCCCGATTGAAACATGTTCTTACTTGCATAACTAAGATTGAGAACTTAAAAAAAAACCCACGCTTTTTACTACTTATATACTATTTCCTTGTTTTTCAGAATTTCCCTCAACTTTGACAGTAAGAGCTGATTAACTGAGAAATACTTTGTTTATTTTAAATATTTTTAGGTTCTAAATGTTGCAATATTCATGTCATACACTTCCCAGGGAAGACTTGTTTTAAAGCTTTCCACTGTAATTTAGTAAATATATACATGATTTAGTTGTATATTTAGGCTCTAGAATTTAACTGTTTTTTAAAACGTAGGGGTCTTTTAACCCAAATAAGAGTGGAGTTAATTTTCAGTATGAACTAACCTTGACACTTACTGGCAGCCCATGCAAATATTTTTCAGTTGTGGCAGCATATTTTAAAAAGGCTTTACTGTGGTCACTCTTTACCCTGTAGTATGGTAAAAGTTTTGTGAGGTGGCTTGTAAAAGGGTCTGTTTAAATGTCTCGTAATAACCATTTCATTTTATAAATTAGTCGATAACATTCTACTACAAAAAGTAGCAGTCTTGGGCTACGGACAAAAGCAAATGTTCAACTGCTCTAAAAGTGAAGAAGCAGCTGCCAATCAGAAGCACAGATGTGTTGTTATATCTGTTTGCTCCTGTAGCAACACAAAATCAACTACATCTCTGCAAGTGTGACTCAGCGAGACAGGGTTAACCCTGCAATGATTTTGTTACAACTACATCAGTACAAGTGCATGAAGATGTAACTGTTACATTGCAACAGCTTACACTTGCATGATTTGATATTGATACGATTATTACATTTGTTTATATCCTCATTTTAAGCGTATAAATTAGATGGAATCCTTTTCAATAGAAAAAATCTCAACACATTATTTTGCACTTATCAAAGGCAAACTGACCCCCTGATAAGGCAAAAATGGGAGTGTACCATTGCTGCTTTTTTTTTTTTTTCTAAGGCATCTTGCAAGGCAAAATTATGTGCAACACCAAGAAGAAAAGTTATAGCTTTTTTCTTTTTTTTAGATACAGCCAACTACTGGATGGCTGTAGATAAGCCATCAAGGCAAGTATTTTGGTGCACATGTTTTCATGCAACTATGCCATAGAACGAAGTGATTCCACAGAGTTAAGTTGTTTGGTTTTGTTTGAATCTGACAGGTCATAAGAACATTTTACCATTAGGCCTAGTATCACCCTGATGCCTTGCAATACTAAGCACAGATGTTGGAAAACATTCAAAACTGGAAAGTGAATGCCTGGACACAACCACTTCCCCACATTCTCTCTAGAAGCAGTAGCTTGGTCACGTTACTACAGTACTGGAATCAGAAGGTTCCTGTTTTTATTAGAGGTGCACCAATACATCGGTCCGATATCAGATCGGTACTGATAAAAAGAAAACTGACTATCGGAAATCAGCCTAATGTGGTGGATAATTTGGCTGATAAATGCCCATATGTGTGCGCAGCTGTTGCGCAGCACACAGGCAGTGAGAAGCACAGCCTGTCCGGGGGAGGGGGGGCAGCTCCCGCCGCTGCAGATGTCACTGGGAGGGTGCCCCACCCCCGCGCCCCCCAGATGAGCCACAGCTCTGTCCCGCACCCCACTCTGACCCAACTGGGCAGCGCCTGCCCCAACCCCACTCCCTCTCTCACTGTGGGGGCCTTGATCTGCCCCCTGACTTCCCTCCCCTTCCACCACAGCACACATACCTGCTGGACACAGCTGTATCGGAAATCTGATCAGTATTGGCCGATATGCCTCCTTAAAAACTGGCTATTGGTATTGGCCCCCCAAAATCTCTATTGGTGCACCCCAAGTTTTTATTTAGCAGCCATATGCAGATTTACCTGAGATAGATTTGGCACTTTCCATAGCAGGTACTCTTGGCAACGAGGCTGGTCTGCTGGTAGAGGATGTCCTCAACAAATGTTCTAGACAAAGGAAGAGTAGTAAAAATTTACTAATACATTATTTCAGTTGTGATCAGTGAAGAAGCTGTGATACCATTTACGAATTACAGAATGGGTTCATTTATCTTGTTGAGACAAACAACTAACTGATTGTATGTCAATCTAGGAGGAAGGCTAAATAAAGTTCATACTTTTTTTTGCCGTAAAAAGTTCACCATGGAAAATTTCATGATCCTTTAAACTCTACTCCCTTAAACCTTTTCTTCGGACATGGCTGCTATAATCTGTTGATTCATTTAACAATAAGCTTGGCAAGAAATTCCTTTTTAGCACAAAGATAGCCTAAGTCAAGGGTGCTCAACCTCCAGCCTGTTATCCAGATCTAGCCTATGGAGCCATGTCATCCAGCCTGCAGAGCTCCCCACTGGTCCAAAAATGTGGTGTCGGGAGGGAGGGGGGGTGGGAAATAGCGACAGTGTTAATCGCTATTCTGTTGCTCCCAAATTTCTGGACCCAAGGGGAGCCTGGTAGACCAGATAACATGACCTTGCTTGCTAGATTGGACATGTGGGGCTGATCAAAGCAGTGCAGAGCCAATTGGGGTGGCACAGGCAAGGAGGCTGATCGGGGTGCCATGGAGCCTGATCTGTGTGTGTGGGTCCAGACAGTGGTAGTCCAAGGCCAGATCCAGCCTGCTGACAGGCCCCACACCACGTGTCTGGCCTTTGGGGCAAAGAGGTTGAGCACCACTGCTCCAAGTCATGTGCAATTCAGGCGGATTTCTGTCATTCTGTGTAGAGTTCAAACCAAACATGTTTGTAGCAAAATTTTCTATCATCATTTTTACCTTCCATATATAACAGCTAGAAGCTGCTGCTATGTTAAAAGTGTTGGGAGATTAGCTCTGCCCACAGTCAGTGCAAAGAAATTTAGTTTTCTTTTAAAAAAATCTCCAATAAAATGGATTCTTATATCAATATAAGGATCAATTCAGATTTAACATTCATATTATAAAATTATATTTTAATCAATATCCTTTACGCCATTTAACATTTTTACATAAGGCATATGGTTAAGTGTTTGTAAGGTAATTAAAAATAAAATTATCCCAAGGCAATAATTTGCAAATAAGAATGCACAATACTAAAATACAAACAAATGTATAAGGTCCTAGCTCACTGACAGAATTTATTGGTAGATAAAGAACACAAGTCAAAACTAATCTAAGTATGCATATCTAAAAAAATAAACAGATTTCTTACCTGTCTTTTTTCCAAGGTTCAGAATTCTGTATTTCTCCTGTATTAGGTGATCACATAAGCCACATAAAACAGCATAAAGAATGCTGTCTCCTTTATGAACAACTGTATGTGAGATAAGGGTATTAACACTTGCAGGAGAAACAAAGAATCCTGAAAACAGGTCTTGGCAGGTAACAGGTCCTTCAGATTACTTTCAACACAGAAATGTTCTTAAGTCTTATTTTTTGTATTATTACAATTTAAAGTCCTGAAATATCTTCTTGACAACATATATTAATATTACTAACATTGAAAAGTATTCTAAAAAAATTAGCCCCTTGCTGCATTGAGCGAATAACCGCAATATGCAATCAACAAAAGCAAAAAGGAAATCTGGTATATGTTAAGTGCTGTAAAGTGTCATCTTTTTTTTTTTGGGGGGGGGGGGGGGGGAAGAGAACGACACACGACTGGGGTGGGAGAGGAATTTCTGAGGTCTGGGCCTGATATTTTCTCAGCTGAGAGGAAGTATATAGCTTGGAGTCACATGGGGATTATCTTAAAAAAACATCTAGAAAAAAACCCCCAAACAGACATAAATCAGAGCGTTACACCCAGAATACGATAGCAATTTATTCTTACAGGAAGGGCATATTGTGAACAGAGTTTTGACGGACAAAACAAAGTTACCAAAACAGGGAAATATTAGGATTTGGAAAAAGCAACACTTTTAACTTTAATCCAGTTTTCTGTCTTGTTGCTGAAGAGCCATTACATAAAACACTGACAAAATAGCAAAAAAAAATGAAACTTATTTACATACAACAGAGCACCTTATATACTGAAACTAAAATAAGAATAAACCTATCATAAGATACACAAGGTATCATTTTATACCTTATCTAGTCCTCAGGAGGAAGCAGCATACCATTGTGTCATGAATGTCATCTTGGCTTATCTTTGCATTTGACCTCACAATATTTTGGCCCTATTTATAGCCTGTATACTTTGATAGATGTATGTAGGATGTAAAAAAACCTGAGCTCACTAGCCTTGCAAGACTTATTCCTGGGCACAACAACCTCAAAAGGCACCCCAGTGATTTATCAAAGACAAATGTTGCTCAGTATCCTACTCACAGAAACAGCCATTTCAAGAAATTACAAACCCCTGGGATAACAAATGAAACAAGGTAATATAATGGGAATATCATTTTAAGTTATCCCCATTCAGAAACAAACCTGTATAGAAACATAAATTACATTATGTTAGATGCTTGATGGGAGAAGGCCTATTTTTACAGTAAGGAAGTACTTCCACTGTTCAAACTAGCTGAGATACTAATTTAGTGGATAATATTTTATATACTATGAATTGTAATTATTGTAATCAACAAGATTGCTGACACTGAAACGTTAGAACTCTGTTGGATTAAAGGTGAAAAATCAGACTGAAAATGAAAGAAGCAATTATCACACTGTAACAGCAGATGCCAGCTGCATAAGCACAGACTTTTATAAGCTGTCTGCTGCACATTCATGGAACAGGTAACTCAACTGGTAAACTCAGCTTGTTATCACATACAAAAAAAGATGCCCACTTACAGCTTCCTGTACCTATTTATAAACAGGAACTCTCTAATTGCACTTGAAGGTAAATTACAAAAGAAAAAAATGTTGCTCTGATTTTTCCCAGAAAGCATTTACTGCTTTTTTTTTTTTTTTTTTGTATTACAGACACCAGGCCAGATCCTTAGCTTACATAATTGGCTGAGGTCCAGTAAATTGGCTATACCAATGGTGCTTAAAGTACAACCCAAAGCCCAAATCTGGCCTGCAGAGGCAAGTCATCTGGACTGTGGGGCTCCTCACAGGTGTGGAAATTTGGTGGTGGGGGAGCAGTGGCAGCACAGTGGCAATTAACAGCGCCACTGCTCCCCTGCCTCTAGATCAGGGGTGGGCTGGATGCGGCCCATCAGGCCATTCTATCCGGCCCATGGGTCCCCTAAAAAAATTCATAAAATTAATATTTATCTGCCCCTGGCTGCCTGTCATGTGGCCCTTGATGACTTGACAAAACTCAGTAAGCGGCCCTCCACCCAAAATAATTGCCCGCCCCTGCTCTAGATGCTTTGTCCTGTGGGGAGTCTCATGAGCTAGATGACATGGTGCCAGATTGGGCCAGGTCATACCCCAGACCCAGCACATGGGGTTGGTTTTCTGGCCAGATTCAGCTTGCAGACCAGCTTTATTCCATTCATCCAGCGCCTGCACTAGAGAGGTTAAGAACCATTGAACTATACCGATTTATAATAGCTGAAGATCTGGCCCATCTTGTCTTGATCTGTACTTTATAGGAATGCTCTTACGGTGTCAAGAGGACACTAATCATGACACAACAGAAAAATGCCCACGCTGCATTTTTTCTAGGTGTTAGCTAAAAGGGGAGGTGATGTTGAGTCTTTTGTAAAGAGATCCTATATTCCAATTGCTAGTCAACTTTAATTAGACAGTATTTAACAAATACAGTTTAACATAGTCTGGAACCCCATCTGACCCTAAGAATTCTTCACACCCCTCCTCAGCCTCACTAGCACAGGCAACACTGCATCTTTGGTGCAAATTCAGGGCAGAAATACCAGGCATGAGGGACAGCACAAAAACAGCAGAGGGAGAGCTACAGGAGTATAGGGATTTTGCAAGAAATCCTGCTTCTGATTCCACAGGATTACAGTTCTTTGGTTTTGCAGAGAATTGCACACAGTGTGCTCATTATAGAATAAACTCGTCATTTTTTTGAATTCCTTGGCGAATTCTGAATCTAAATCTGGTGGGACCAGGCTTTCACACCTGCACATAAGAATATTCTTCATTACATGTTCTCTCAAGAACTTCTCTCTCTATCACTTGTAAACAAGCTGCTATTATGGACTGACTATTTCAGATGAAAGAATTACTCTATTTTCTACAGACAGCTTGTAAAATTTAACTAAGCAAAACTACAGAAAATATTGGCCGTGGCAAATAAAAACTCCAAAAGGTTTCTCTGCAGAATCAGGTCAGGGCTCAGGAGACCTGCAACTACAATCAAACTATATACATGGGACCAGGTCCCTGTTGGACCTGGTCCTGGCCACAGGCGATGATCTGGTAAGGGGGCTCCAGGTCCTTGACCACCTGGGTGATAGCGATCATTGCTTGCTGGAATTCATCATCCAGCGCAGGGTGTCAAGGGCCTGCAGCAAGGCATTAGCCCTAGACTTCAAGAGGGCCAACTTCAACGAGTTGAGGAGATTGGTGGGAGAGGCACTGGGGTTCTCGAGGGCAGGGGAACTCAGTGCCCAAGATGAGTGGTCGTTCCTTAAGGAGACGATACTAAGGGCCCAAGGGGTGACAATCCCAACAAAAAGCAAGGGGGACAAGAGTGCCCAAAAGCCTCCCTGGCTCACCAAGGATGTCCGGGAATGCCTGGTTGTCAAAAAGGCAGCGTACACCCGGTGGAGGGGGGGGCTATCTCCAAAGAAGAGTATACCTCCACTGCTTGGGCCTGTAGGGGGGCTGTTAGGAAAGCTAAGGCAGACATAGAGCTAGGACTAGCGTCCAAGATCAAAGATAATAAAAAGTCCTTTTTCAAATATATAGGGAGGATGAAGAAGGCACCGGGAAAC